TATATATATATATATGTATATATACTTATACACACATAAATATGTATTTTATATCTGAGTGTTAATTTATAAAACAAATTCGAACACAAAATATTTCTTAATCCATGTTTCTTATGAATGTGTTGAGTAAAACAAAACTTATTTATGAAGGAATTTATACTTATGAAAAAAAAAAAAACAAAAACAAAATGAAAACAAGAAAAAAAAAAACAGTAAGCTAAAATTAAAAAATAAAAATGTTATATGTACTCATTATTGATGTGCAACAAGTTTTATATCAACTGTTTATTGCATGAGACATCCACATTCATTAGAGATGCAAACAAATATTTATATTAATAAAAGGAATTATATATGTGTGTTAAAACGGATTTCATCTGTACTGATTTATACATCAAAGTCTATAGTTTTATAAATTGATCTTCAATGCGTGTTTTTTATTACAAATTTTCATAACGGAATTTTTAATTCGTTAAGTGTGGAGTATATTTTTATATGATTGTTAGCGGTGGAGCAGGCTGGGCTGCGGTTGGGTGTGGAGCGATTCTGTTATTTAACATAGCACTGGTAAACGCGATGTTAACTTGCACCCCGAATTGTTGTTGTCTTTGCCATACACACAATTTCGCTGAACTAATAGTTAATAGCAATCGACGATCTACGACCAGGCTTGGCCAAGTCTGGAAATAAAGAAACAATCTGCCCAACACGCTTCCCCTTCCGTAGCATATAAGCAAATAGCGACAGGATGGTAATTGGGTAAGTTGCAGCACATTGGCTTAGCGAAAATTACGTAACCTTCAAGCTAATCATTTGATTATTGTATTTATTTTTTCTGTAAAGACTCTTGGTACGCGGCGGCCTGGTCGCTGGCGCTGTCTACTACACCCGCCGTGCTGGCGTCTGGGGCAATACGGAACAAACGGATAAACTCTACAACGATGTTAAGGATCAGCTGAGGCCATATGTACAGAAGGCCAAGAAGCAGCTGCCGTTCGAGGTGCCACAGCTGCCGCGGGTGGGCGAAATGCGCTTCCTGGCCAAACACTATTACAACGAGGGCGTCAAGAACTCATTCCGATTTGTTTACATGTTGCCCTGCTATGCGGGCCGAGGCCTGAAGAAGGTGAAAGATACATTTGAAGAATTCGCCAAGTCACCAGCAATCGCGGCCAGCGAACACCAACAGCAGGTGCAGCCAGCGACAAAGTAGTCCAAGATGTGCTTTCCTTAGCCATTCGATAGAAGGCTGTTTTCATGTTAGTTCGTAGTTAGTCTATTGAATACACTATGTTTGTGTAACACTTTCCCACGAAACCAACTGTCAGAGCAGCTGCTGGCTCTGCTGGGAAAATCGAAGATGTCAAGAGCAAAAGTTTTGCTATAAAATACTACTTATTTACCTCTAATTGTGGAATACTTAAACGTATGTCGTTCGATCTTTTATGCTAGTAATAAACGATATTATGTTATAAACGCCTAAACAAAGCGTATTAAACATGATTTCATTTAAACTTACTAAAAAAAAAAACACACTTTCTTAACAGTTTGTATATATACATAGGTACATATATTTACATTGATGCATATATATTTTCAACTTGTACATCTGTACGTGTGCGCCACGTGATAAGCTTGTATTATTTAAACTGTTTTATGATAGCATTTCACGTTCGCTTAAACAGCAGATAAAAACGTCTGAGACATTGTTTTTGATTTACAACAAAGAAATGCACAGAAAATCATTTATTTGGCTTACACATACACGACTATCCATGATGACAATGTTAAAATAGTATCTCACTGGAAGCATAGTACCATGGCAGAGCAAGGTAAATCCCATGCGGTATCTAGAGGAAAATAATTACTCATAGCTCATTAAAGATATCGCCACAAAAAATTTAATTATTCATATATTTTAATAGAGAGATAATGCCGATGAATAATAAATTAAATTCCAACTAGACTAGAATAATTAGTTTTGATCTGATTAGCTGGCTTTTAATCAATCCGCTTAAATATTCTAGTTGTTTCTTTTGTTTGTTGAAGCGTTTAAATATTAGTGCTGTAAATATTGTGATGCTACAAGATTACTAATCAGTATAAGACAATGTAGATTGTTGTTAAACAATAGTTGGCTAGATGGAAAAAAGGAAAGAAGACATACAAAAAGTTCTAAATATATTTAAATAATATCAAATACAATAACTTGGCACATAATATGTGCACACAGCTATTCTGTTAGATAACGTAATCAACACATCCTAACAACCAACAAAAGTAACATACAGGTTAGTCTTTTCTCTAAGTATTTGCTCTAAGTAGTTCCTCTAAGTGTTTTCTTTAAGTTTTCCTTCCAAGTCATTCATCACAGTCTTTTCTGATAGTCTTCCTCTAATGGTTAGCTGACCGATCGTTAAATATTCACAGAGACTTCACTTCACTGTACGAATGACCTCCACCACGTCTGGGAGACTGAAGAAATGCTACAGCTGCTGCCCTTTATATAGGGCCACTTTCACTCAGACAATAAGTCGCTCTCAAATGTTGGGCCCGACGTCAGGTAGAGATCGTTGAAGTCGAACTCAAATTAACCAATGAGAGCACTCTCTGCTGCTACAAGCATTCTAGCTTCGTTTTACTCAAATATAAATACCAAATGAATACTGCTGCACACATACATATATACAACTTAAACTGGGTTGAGGCTGAATTAAATGTACGTTCAGATCTGAGGTAATAATATTGATATAAATAATATCAGTATAATATAATATGTTAACATTCATATAAAAGCTGTTGGTATTATTTATTAATTATTTACAGAAGTTTATAGATTGATTTATGATTTTTAAGGTTTGGTAATTTGAATAATAATTTATATTTAAAATACATATATTATAGACTCTTCTCTTTGACATGCAGACATGCCTGGGATGCCTATGAGCTCGAGCTTTTCTCTTTGAGCTAAGAGTTCTTTCTTGCTGCCTTTTACAACATAATCATATATCACCGTTAAACACACTTCGCACAGGTACAACAATCACAACATTGCGACAGGTTGAGCACGAAGCGTTGTTGCCGGCAAAACGTCATTCAACTGAGCGCATCTCAGTTGACCGACTGCCTGACTCATTGATTAAGCTGTGAGCTGTGAGTGTGTGAAGGCTGTCGTCGGTTTGGCATTTAAGAGATTATGAGCAATTACAGCTTTACAGCTTCCGTTTTGTTTTTCTTTCAGTTGGACCACTTGGTTCAGTGAGAAATAGATTACGCATACGCCGCATAGTCCAATTATCAGACTCGACTTTCTATGGCTTGTCGAGCAAATAAACCAAAGCTAACAAATCGTATTATACAAAACAGACGTCACATAGAAGCAAACGTGCGCCGCACACTGATAAGCGATAGCCATATAGCTATATAGCATATGTATTTGCACGGTAGCCGGATCCCTAATTGTGGCACACTTGAGTGCTGCCAAAAATAGCGATAAAAGCCCCGTTTAGGACAACAGTGGACAACGGTGTTTCCATGTAACGGTCACTGGTTTAATTTTAGCAAGCACTCCAGCCCAGTTCTGATTATCTGTGAACGAACGGGTGCAATATGTGAATTTTGATTTCAGTTAATTTGGTGTCTTTGTCACGTCTATTTATGGTATTTACTCATTCTATCTGGGCCGTTGGCTATTTTTATTATTACTATTTACCTGGCATACAAGTACTTTTTAATTAAGAAAATATTTATAACTTTTTGCCTTTGGCTTTGGCTTTGTTTTTATTTTTTATTTTTATTTATATTTTTGTTCTCGTTCTTTCTGCTTTGCTTGCCCAGTTAAGCGGCATCAAATACAAGTAACTGTCGTTGTCATCCTCCTCATCGCTGACAGGCAGCAGATAAAAATTTACTACTAGCTAGACACCCCGCCCCCCCGTCGGGCGCACCCAAGCAGTTAGTTGCGCTGTGAGTCATGCTATGGCAAAGATAATGTCTAGATCTTGGTACAGCATCTGCTCTGTGGTCATGACTGGGGCGGAAAAGTACAAAGCGTCGCTACGAATCGAATTAAATCACGTGTTAAGACGTAACGCAACAATTCCATTAAATTAATTTGTAAATAATTAAATTTGTTTCGGCAAGCACAAATGGCCAATATTTGCCATATTCGGCGACCCATAAAAAATAAAGCCAACAGCAGCAACCACATTACGTATCGAGAAAAGCAAATAAATAAATGCTTAACCTCTAAATTGGAGAAAACACGCATACGCCATGTTGTGCCGCCCCCACCCAAAGCGCAGAGACAACAAGCAACACCTCACAGACCCACAACGATCTTGAGGCCGTAAGGAGAGTAAATGTTGTATGAGAGTACACACACCTACACACACAGACTCACACATACGCGCACACACACTCCGGCAATGATAAGAGAATTTCTTTTTGACATTGCGCATGACGACACAAGAAAGCGTCTGATATTTAAATATATGTGTATATATATATATATGAGTGAAAAAAAAAAAATATATATATATTGTGTTTATTTACCTACGAGCGAACAATAATTAAAAATGCTTTCTTGTTTAGTTTAATTAAAGTTTTGATAAAGCAACAAAAATAAATAAATAATAAAAATATCCAGTTCACTTGGTCAATAAGCAAATTGACGTAGATTCAAAGTACAATATGCATACTAAATTGCTTAAAATAATTGAATATCTGTAGGAAATTGGAAGCAAAGCGGAACACTTTGAAAAGTGTGATTGTGCTTTATAGCGACGCCTCTGCTGCAACTGACTAACTAAAATATTTGTTGAAAACGCGTCCCAAACACATTTTATCTAACAGCTTGTGTTAGATTGTGTCTGCCGTTCAGTTGGCTTAAGCGCTTAAGTTTACGGTGTGGCCTAAGATGCTTCTGCTTTTATTTTAATGAAAAAAATAAAAAGTTTTTTTCTGGCTATTTGGCCGTATTTAAATTAATGTTATCTAATTGACGTGCGTCTTGTTGCGAAAAAATATGCAGGCACATTCATAGGAAGCGGTGCTATAAAAAAGTGTATGTAGTTAAGCTTAAGAGTGGATAGAATGAGCTGGAAAGCAAGCTCAAAGTGAAGAGAATAGATTAGAGGTTGTCAGTTAAGCCAATTACTCTTCATACATTGCTGTAATCTCTGAGCATGAAACGAGTCTCAACTGCTGTTTAACGTGAGTTTGTAGAGTGCAGCACCTTCGGCAGATCACCCTTGGCTTGATGTTCCGAGTAAAACTCTTTCTCTGCGCAACTAGATGAGTCGACGCTCTCAGGAAGAGTTAAATATAGAGAGTTGCTCTAAATCAAAACTAATGAAAAACCTCTTAAGCTTTTACCTTCTTCTTCATCTAGGTAGACTGGATTATCACTTGAGTCATAAAAATAATATATTTGACACTCAACATTTTTTTTTAGTTTCTGGAAAGCTCTTCAAACTTTTCGTTTATCTAGCTTTTATACTGGATTGATTATCTTGTTAAGTACAAATAGGAATTCTGCTTGCATCGAATCTCTAGCCAGCGACTAGATAAACCCCGCCAAATGCCACATCTTAGTATTAGTTTTTGTCTATTACCTAAGTCTGGCCTGGCAATTGAATTCCAGCTATAAATAGAATTTCAAATTAAGCTTGAAGCATCAGCTTAGCCATCGACTAGATAAACCAAGACAACTGGCAATTATAATTTGGCTCTGCAGCCCTTTAGCGGCTGCATATCTAGCTACCTCATCAGAGCTTAAGTTTGTCTGCCATTTAATTAAAATTGAATTTATAATTCGTTTAAGATATTGCCATTTGAGTATTCAATGTCTAGGCAAAACTAAAACTAAAAAAAAAAAAAATCAATTAAACAAACAGCTCACAGTCGCAAGACGCGATCTTGATTCAGGCTTTCAGCTACTGTCGCATCCAAATGAAAAAGTTATTAACTCACTCTTGTTTTTGTTATTGGCCATTTGTGATATTCAATTATTGTCACACATATTTCTATGTCACGTCGCGGATCGCAATTTCGTTGTTGTTGTTGTTACTGTTGTTATTGTTGCTTATTGATTTGCCCATACAATAGCGTTATGAGGGCGACCTTTAAGCATAAGCCGGCTGGCAGCATCGTAAACAAAAAAGTTTGTTCAACCAATCAAAAAAATCGCATAATCGATGATTGTTCTTCAACAATTGGAAGCTGATAAGACTTAAACAGTCTACAAAAGTTTATTGAACTGCATCAACAAGTTATATAATTAATTTATATGCTACGCTCCATAATTAATGTGCTCAAATCATGTGCGATTCGTACAATTTGTTTAAGCAACAACAGCGTAGCGTGTGCCTTGGGCAAATATTACAAACTGAAGCAAGCTAATCGCTTAATTACAATTCGATGCGAAACACCTGAACACACAGATGCATACACGCTCACACACACACAGGCACTCTGTCTCTGCTTCAGCTCTACGATGTGTGTATGCTAATGCTGCAACTGTCCAAATGCAGCTTCAGTTTGCACATTTGCTGATTGTTGATGTGCATTAATTATAAAATATTTGTATTATTTATTTGCGTTGAGTAGAACGCATTTCCAAGATTTCGACCGGTTTTATACAATAAATGTCTATATACTATATATATTCATATACTTATGTAATGCTTCCGATATCTGTTGCTGTAGATATTAGTATATGTGGTATTCTCGAGCAATACCCACTGAACAGATGATTAAGAAGCGTGCTAATGTCAAGCAAATGGAATGTGGGGCAGGCAATAACTGAAATTTACATATATATTACTTTCTTATACTCTTCGAAGAGAGCTGAGTTATAGCTGCTTCGGCAGATTGAGTCATTAAATCAGCTCTCAAAGCTGCAGTACCTAATGTGACTTGCATAAGAGTTGATCAGCTGTAAGTCGTATGCTCTTCAGGTCATATTACAGCTATGTTTATATTGGCTGCACTCATATTATAGGGTAACTATGCGTCGTTTGTCTCTCTAGCTGTGGCTTTGGCCGCTGATGCTGCGGCCAGTTTATAAGTGAGACGATCTCTAGCGACCCTGCGTTGTTGCCTTTACGCTGTTCGACAGCTAGCAACGTAGCACACCGGGAATACCTTCAGACGCCGACAAAAGCGAGAGTCAAGCTATTGTTGTTGCTATCTCTTGCTGTTGTTTTTGTTGTTGTTGGTGGCTGGGTAGCTGACTGTGTTATCAGCAAACCGAACACACAATACTTTTGGGCAACTGCGGCAAGTTACAATCAAATTTCGCTAGCTTCCAGCTCAGCTGCTGCTCAACTGTTCAACTGCTCACCTGCTCGGCTTCTCGGCTGCTCTGCCGCTTTGCCGCTCTATTACTTTGCCGCTCAGTTGCTCACCTGTATCAGGCACTCAGCTGCTGAGCGCTCGGCTCAGTGCTTTGTGAGTGCTCGACGCCGACGCCGACAAAAAACGACGGCAGCAGAGGCAGCGCAACGCAGCGCAGCGCAATCAGGTATTTCTGCGAGGCGCAAACGCGACGTGAGATCAAAGCGCCAACGACTAGCAACAGGTCCACGTCCTCGCCAATAGAACATAAACCAAAGAAAAAGCAAATTATTTAAATCAATTAAATTTATGAAATAAATAACATTAAAAACAACAACACATTCGCAATTCGATTGATTGGAAGTGAATGGTGTAGCGAAGCGAGGATAAAAGATCGTGTGCCGAGGTGACAAAACAAATTGTTCAAGTGTTTCAAAAAATATCAAAACATGAGCATTATGCAAATCGAATAAGTAAAACAGAAGTGCTGCAAAACCAACAAAAAAGCGAAAAATAAATTAAAAATATATAGAATTGCTAGAAAATGAAGCCACAGCTGATAAAATTATTGTTCATAGCATTTGTGTGCGGCAATGTACAAACGATCTTTGGGTAAGTAAATTTAATTGAATTCTCGCCAGATAGGAAATACCCGTTAAGTAATTTCTAGATATTTGGCATATATACATATATTTGTCATATTTCCGCTCTCTTTAGTCAGCCGAGACGCAATGCTGATAGTAATTTTAATTTCTAACCGAATTTACAAATAGAGTCTGCAAATTGCTGCCAAAGAGCAAAACAATTCAGACTGATAAAACTAAATAGCATTGATATGTTTCCAATTGTCAGATACAACCAATTTATACGGCGATTCGGCCAAAAATAGCTAAATGAAATTTGGGCTTCTTTGTGCTCTTTGTTTCTACTTCGTTTTGTTTTATTTTGGGCTACTATCCTAGCTCTTTGTTTTGCTTTGTATATTTGGAATTTGTTTCTTGTTTTTATCTAAAGTGAAAATTTCTACATTTGCCTTAACTTTTCTATATAAAAAATGTTGAAATTTTCAGTTACACAACTGATAAAACTGATAAGCAATAAGAAATTGCTGCAGTTTTTCTTTTTTTTTTTCTTCTTTTTTTTTTTTTTTTGTAAAGAACATGTTTCCTTATGCTGTAAGTTGATAAAGACAAAAAGATTGCCTGGGAATACCAGGCGGTTATCAA